TTCCTCCAGTGGATTATTTGCCAGATAACACAAAATGCCTCTCTAGTTACATGTACAAGCTTGAAATGCATGGACCATCGTGGACTGGGGATGCTAACAGTAGCCCCCTAGGCAACTTAGAGAAACACACAGCCTGTCAGCGGGTGTCCTTCCGAGACCATAACAGCCCAGCTTTCTTCTCAAGTACTTTCTTTTCTCAAGTACCGGGATGGCTGTGAGAATTCATCTCTGAGACTGAAGACAAGGGAATAAAAGCCATGAGAAACCTTCACGGCTGTGTCTGTCAGTGCCAAGGCAGAACCTTACCGCATTGTAACCATCTGTGTGCTTCTAATGTGTGTGAGCAACGAACCCAGTGGAAACGCCACCGTCTCCAGCTGCGTCAGATGAGCTCCATCATGGCCTTTCAAAAGGGTGATGTCATCTGGAAACAGCAACGGCTTTTAGGGATGCATACGCAGTAATGAATCTTTCCTCAGTTTCTTGTGTATCTTCCTATCCAACCTGGTGATTTCGACTCTGTTGACCCATTCTAATTTGACTCATTACAAAGCACTGAAATGCTGTACAAGAAATATTTTTCAAGCTATGTGTATGTAGTGTGTCTCTTAATAGATACTATAGGTATCTACATACAGATTTGAACACAAAACCGAGGAAATACTCTTTAAGCAACTACTTTGAATCTAGGTCCTTGGGATAACATTTATTATTATTATTATTATTATTATTATTATTATTATTATTATTTTAAAACTTGACTTTTAGCCTGCTTCCTCCACACCCTCATATTTTTACTCGAAATCCTAAACTGCACTAGACTGGACAGTTACCCCTGGTTTTATTAATACACATCTTACAGAATCCCACCAATTTCCTTCATCTTCTGCCATTTTGTTTCTACCTGAAAATTAAAGACACTGGGGGTTGGGGGGGATGCTGACCATTTTAATGGTGCTTCAGAACCAGGGCAGGAGCTTAAAGGTGTGCCTCAGTCGGTAGAGGACCTCCATACCCTTCACAAAAGCCCTGGGTTTGATCCCCAGCAACACGTAAGTCAAGTTTGGTGGCGCACACCTGCACCTCAGCATTCAGGAAACAGATGCGGGGTGGGGGTGGGGGACAGAAGTTCAAAGTCCTCCTTAGATACATGGAACATATGAGGCCTGCCTGGACATACAAGACCCTGTCTCAAGTATACATTGATACATTGGGACATTTAGCTTAAATGTTACGGCCCAAGGCACAGACTCGCATCCTCTTACCCTAGTCTTAGTGTTTCGTTCCTTTGACTCTGGTCTGGCCGAGACACACCATCTGTCGGCTCTTCCTTACCAGTTGCTAGGGAGGTGGGGTGTCGCTGATTCTGCCATGTTCATCAGCAGAGGCAATGAGATTCACCTGCAATCAGGACTGGCCTGTGATGACTTCTCATGCCGCACCTCAGGTTTACAGGTCTCCCTGGGACCCCCCTCCCCAGGTGGAGTATTTAGATGGCCCTTTTCTGACATTCATTCTTTACAGACTATAGTGGTGGTCACTGGACCACAACAATGTCCAAGTTAAAACTGTGAAAGCTATACCAAGTACTAATCGTCATCTATGATTTGATCTTTAAAGAGAGTTTTGTGTGACTTTCATAGTTCCAAATATTTTTCTTTTTCAGGGAAAGCAAATTCAGGTTCGTGGTAAATAAAGGTCAGTGCTGTCTTCCGAGTATTCTGTTATCCTACAGTTACTGCAGCACCAACAAAGCTTTGGGAACTCCAGGACTGTACAGCTGTGCTAATTTAGGGCTTGTTTCTAGTCAGCCTTGCACCTGGCTCATATGTGCATGACAAAAAGTAGGAACTATAACACGATGGTTCCTTCTGTTGCAAGTTGAAGCTTTAAGGTTTTGAAGTACTAAGATCTGCCTTTAAATGAAGGCAACATTCATTTACTTAGTGAATGTGACAATATTTTTATGTGTGTAGTAACTTGGTAATGAGGTTGTGAGGTAGACAACACAAACGCAGTAGATTTCAGTAAAACACCACTGAAACCGAGTCCTGACAACATGCCTGGGCTCTTGATTTAGATCACATGGAAGCCATTTGCTGCACTCATAGACTGGTGCCTAGCCCAACTGTCGTCAGACAGACTTCACCTAACTACTGATGGAAACAGATGCGGAGACCCACAGCCACACATTAGGCAGGGCTCAGGGAATCTTACAGAAGAGGAAGAGAATTGTAGGACCCAGTGGTGTCAAGGACACCACAAGAAAACTCACAGGGCCACAGAGACTGAACCGCCAACCAGGGAACCTGTGTGGGACCAACCTAGGCACTCTGCATATATGCTACAGTTGTGTAACTTGGTCTTCGTGTGAGACTCTTAGCAGACAAGGGTTGTCTCCAACTCTGTTGACTGCTTTTGGGGACCCATTCCTCCTGCTGGATTGCCTCACCTAACCTTGGTGGAGAAGGGGGTGCCTGGTCTCACTGCAGCTTGATATACCATGGCTGGCTGATATCCATGGGATGCCTGCCAATATCTGAAGAGAAACAGTAGAGGAAGAGTGGATGGGGTGTGGGGAGAGGAGGCAAGGAGGCTGGGAAGGGGGAGGGAGGGGAAGCTTTAGTTAGGATGTGAAAACAAGAAAAATTTTAAAAGGAGCAAAAGAAAAAAAAAACAATAATGGCATTCCAAGAATGGGGGGGGGAATGTAACTGAGGAAATAGGGCATGGTGGTGCACACTTTTAATCCCAGCACTCAGGAGGCAGAGGCAGAAAGAGTTCTGTGAGTTTGAGGCCAGTCTAGTCTACAAAGCCAGTTCCAGGACAGCTGGGGCTACACAGAGAAACTTTGTCTTGAAAAACCAAACCAAACAAACAAACAAACAAACAAACAAAAAATTGTAGCTGAGGGCATTCATTCTGATTTTTAAACTATGATTCTATAACCAAACTGACCAGTTTAGTTTGTGGTTGTCAAAGCTATGCTGTTCCAAAAAATATAGACATCAACAGTAACAGACACAGTAGACACACTTATGTAACACACACACATACATACATACATACATACATACACACACACACACACACACACACACAACATTTTTATGATACCTATGTCATTTTTTTAAATACTTATTTGATGTGATTGTTTTCAACTTGCTAAAAAAGTTTAAAAGTATAAAAGAAAGGCCAATGAAACAGATACTATTAATTATTCCAATTTCAATAGATGGAGAAAGTGAAGCCTAGAGAGTTTAAGTAACCTTCCCAAAGTCACGGAGCTACCAGGTGGGATGGGAAACCCACAGCAAGGACTTTGCATCACATGAAATGTAGGAAAGAGACCCCCAGCCACAGTTCAAAAACAGTGTCATGCATGTGTGGGCAAAGACATGTATTTGCCATGTCTGAGACAGGAAAGTCCCGGATATGAGAAGGCTTGAGACCAGAAGGGGCTTCTAGGGCTGGAGAACAGGGACAGAGAAGTTGGAGGCAGGGGTGTGCTGCTGCAGGCAGTGTGTCCTGGAGGCACTGAGGAGGCCCAAGAGTGAGGTTAGACTCTGCTCCTCCATAGTCAGAGTCCATGGAGCCTGGGGAGAATTCACCCAAGTGCTTCCCGAGAAACTGCTTTCCTCGGGAAAACAAGAAGACTCAATGGGTGTTGAGTGGGTGTCAAGTCCAGGAGGGAAGCTGATCCCATTCTCTACGGAACCCCACAACCCTGCCCTGCCCCTGCTCCATCTAAAGTATAAACAGGAAGGAGCTAGAAGGAGCTGGGTCTGCAGAAGAGACCTGGACTAGAGTTAGACCTAGGTGATGAGCCACACTGACGGCACCGAGGAGAGGGGGTGTTTTGCCCATATTCACATAGGAGGCATGGCAGCTGGCTGGTGAGATGAGGCCTGAGATGCCTGGCTCCTGGTTCCAGAGGAAAAGAAATGCAAAAAAAAAAAAAAAAAAAAAAAAAAAAAAAAAAACCCACAGACAGAACTTGGTTCATCTGGTTGAACATGAACTATGAATTTAAATGGCTCATTAACATAATGTAACTTATGGGCTTTAATAACAATGTGTCAATATTGGCTCATGTATTGCACTAATGAACAATGTTAACACCAGAGCAGGGTAGAGGGGGGATGGGGCAGTAGCACAGATCTTCTCTGCAATTTACCCGTATTTTTTCCTATGAGCCTAAAACCACTCTTTTAAAAAAATGTTTAAATGCTTAAAAAAAAAATAGAAAAAAGAAAAAAGTTGGTTACTATGGTCTGTTTGTAGCTTACAACGTAAAGTGACTTTCCAGGCCTCTGAGACCACACATTTTTGGAAATAGTCCCTGGCCCATGAGCTTGGGCTCTTGCAACAGGGTAGAAACCCACTCCAGCTGCATAAATCAAGCTCTGTTTTGCTGCAGAACAAGTAAATAGACTCCGTTCACACATATAACAGGGTTTTGAAAGTTGATCAAAACTGGGACCTTCCCCCTTGAAAATCTATAAAGTTTGGAAAACAGGTGCTTGATGCTCGACCACAGGAAAGACTCCACTGAGAAACAAAGGATAAAAAAAAAAAAAGGAACCTGTCAGTCAGCTTTCTTTTGCTATGTCAAAAGGCCTGGGAGTAATCAATGGACAAGAAGAAAAGGATTACTCGGGCCCACAGTTTTGAGGGTTTGATCCACAGTTGCCAGCCTGCTGCTTTGGGGCCCAGGAGAGCAGGACCCCATGACGGGAGAGAGCTGCTGAGGAAGTGGCTTGCAAGGAGAGAAGATGAGGAGGCTAAGTTCCCAGGACACTCCCCGAGGTCCCACCACCATAACCTACCATTCTTCCACCAAAGCCCACCTCATCAAGGTTCCCACTTCTCAGCAGCACCGAGCTGGGAACCGATACACACGAGCCTTCGTGGGACACGTTGGGCGGCTGAAACTCTTCTGGGTTCCCTCCCGCATGCCTTAGGCAGGCCCAGAGACAAAACACTCTGCACTCACAGGCTGTAGTTAGCAATGCAGTTCATTTTTATTAGTTATAAATAAAGTACAAAAAAATCCACCCAAAGTGAATCTAAGCATTTACACGGTTCCTAACGTCTCCGCCTGTTCATTGATGCACTATTGCTTCAATAGTCATAATAAATATTTTTCTAGCTTTCTGCTATAAAATAGTCTATGTAGCAAAATGTTGCACAGCACAACAGAACAGAACAGCAGGAAAGTTACAAAAAAAGGGACAATCCACACTGGGGATAATCCTTTCACTTACCAGGGGCGACACATGGCCCCTTGGAGAGCCTGGTGTGGCCCTCTCCACAGCTGAGGGTGGGGGGAAGACCTCATCCCAGAGTGGGGAGGCTCAAGGGTGAGTCATAGCCAGCCAGAGCACAGGGCCTGTCCTACTCTGGCCCCACACAACAGCGTAGCATGCCCGTGCGGAGCCCTGCGGGGCCCTGGGGAGGGGGGGCAGTGTCTGCCAGGCCTGGCAGTGTGGTGATTGTGCTCCACCAGCGTGGTGGGTGGCTCCACAGGCCATCTCCGAGAAAAGCAAGGCTCCGGGGCAGAGGCAGGAGAAGCTGGAGAGCAGCAAGCGAGACGCCCCACCCCAAGGGGTGGGGCTGAAGGACCACATCGGGTCTAGCCACCCAGGCAGGTGGTGTGGTAACCCCAGGTCTTTATTTCCTCTCCTTGCCGGGACTATGCAAACCCACGGGCCTCCTGTGGAGGGTGGAGCTACCCACCAGGCAAAGGCAGTGATGTCAAGAGCCAAGAAGGGGGGAGGGGGGAGTTAGGAAAGGAGGGGAAGAGGAGGGTCGGCATGCCAGGGTTCCAGCCCACTCACAGGCTTAGTCCAGGGCCCACTTCCTCAAGGCCTCCTTACCAACGCTCTGACACGGATTTGTGAGGCTGGAGGCTGACCGCTCTAACTGCACAGCAGGTCCTCTCCTATCTGCAGCCTCGGTGGAACGCAGGCAAAGGGCGGGGGGGGGGGGGGCGAGGGGGAGAAGGCAAGGGACAATTCCGTATCCCAAGTTCTTTCTTGTCAGAGAGGGATGTCCCAACCACAAAAGCTCCAGACAAGACTCGGGGGAGAAGGGATCCCAAACACTATAGTCTGGATCTTCTACCGGCTCCTTCTCTCGGGTAATAGGACATGGATCTCGGCTCAATCTCAGATTGACCACCTAACCTTGCGAAAGTCCATGTTTCATACCCAGGGATGTTATCTACCTAACTGGCCTCCTGGCCACCTGCAGGATGCAGTATTGAAGAGGACCCTGTGGGTGGCTGCTCTGACCAGATCTCTACGGTCATTCTGAACTGGTTCCCTCTGCTCTCCGTTTCTCTTTCCCCTCCCCCCATCCTTCCCTCTTTCATCTCTCCTAAGAGAATGAGAGACTCATCCTTGTGGTCTTGCCTGGGACTGTGTCATATTCTTTCTGAATTGGGGGACCCAAGAGATCACCCATCTTACCCCCTCTCTAGGAACAGGAAACTGGCTCCGGGACACCAGGGACTTGCCCTGGATCACAGGGAGCCTGCCTGCCGTGGAGCTGGTCTGAAAGCCAAAGCCTTCTGTCATTAGCCTCCACCTAATAACACAGGCTCTTGGTCTTTCAGATGACATGCCTGCTGTGACTGAAGGACCCCAACTCTGGAACCTCAGTGAGTGGGAGCCCAGGTTTAGCCAGTGACCTCCTTTGCCCTGAGACTGTCCTCAGGGGATGGAGGATGAGTGGGCTTGAGGATGGGGAAGGGGGAGGGAGAACGGAAAGCAGGCTTGAGGTGGGAAAGAGGGCTGGGGGAAGGGGCCAAGGGTGGCAAGTGAAAGGATTACCCCAGCCTGCTGACGAGTGCAAATTATATTCATATATGTGCTAAATACAGTCACTATATTGGAGCTTTTCACTAGATCACAGCATACAGAATCAAAGGTTTGCATTTCGTATGGAATGTACCCAAAGAGGCCAGCACCACAGTAGGACAGCTTGCAATCACACACCCTGATAGTTTGGACGAAATAAAGTTCGCAGACTTTTATTTAAAATGGGTTGTTTTTTTTTTTTTGTCAGTTTGTTTTCGCGGTTGTCATCGTACCAATGCATGCAAAGCATTCCACTCCCAGAAACGACGCCAAAATGAGGTAATAGGAGCAATAAAAAACATTAGTATCCTTTCTAAATAAATAAATTATAATTAAAAATGCAAAACAACTATAAAAATAATTAAATAAGAACCCACGATATCTACAAGTTAGTCATAAATTATGATTGTTAAATATAAGGCATTTAAACTCACAAAACCCTGTAAACTAGCAACGTGCCATGTTTTTTATTTTTTTTGTGTTTTTTTTTTCTTTTTTTGTTTTTCTATCAGCTGAAATCGCTCTAGCATTTGCTCTACGCGCGCGCAGGAGATGAAACACAAGGGGACCTGACACTGACAGACGTTGCTACAGCCCCACGTGGGGAATGTTTGTCCCGCGGGAGGGGCGGCTTGGGGGGGATTTCTTCAAGAAAAAAAAAAAGTCTGGTGCTTTTTCTTCACCATTGAAAAAACTGTGCTTGTTCGTTAGGCGTAAAGAGTTAAGAATGCTTGCACGGAGGCCGCAGGGCCTTTGCAGAGAGGAGCTTGAGGCCTGTCACAGGTGGTGGCGAGGGTGACTGGGGGGCGGGGGGGCTGGGGGCTTGGCAAGGTGGAGGAACGTTGCAGCCCCGGCTGCCCTCTGCCTGTGCCCAGCTGGATTCGTGGCGTTGGGTTGATTGGTGTCCTAGGTGGACCTGCTGCGCCACGGCTGCGGTTAGGAGGCCCAACTTGAACCTGAGGCCGCTGTCAAAGGCACTCATGCGTCTCAGTCAGAAAAGGGTCTGAGTCCCTTGAGTTGAGCAGGAGAACTACGTATGTCTCTCTCCTGGAGATGGTAGATGTGAGATGCTGAGGCCTGGCCCTGCTTCTTCTCCCCCTCTTTTCTGGCTCCCTGGCCAGACTGGGGACCCGGAGCAGAGGTATTGGCTTTCCTCCACCCAATCAGCAGTCCGGAAACGGAAACTGGGAGGGTTCTAAGTGCTACTCCAGCCCTTACCGTCAGGGCACAAGGACCCTAGGTAGGTGGGAAGGGGAGGGGGCGGCAGGATCAACCCCTTCCCTGGCCAGGTCCTAATGTTAGCCTGGGGCATTCCAAGAGCCCGCACAAATGAGAGCAAGGAGAAACCATCCTACCCTCTCCCTCAGCCTGTGTGCCTCAGCCTCTGAAGCAGATACGTGTGGGCACACAAGGCCTCTCAGAAGCATGGGCAGGCAGCACACAGCTCTACAGCTTGAAAGATGTGTTGATATTAGAAAGCATCATAGGATGTGTGCATTGGGAGAAATTTAGTGAGCATCCAATCCAACCTCCTTGGGTCGCAGCTGAGGAAGCTGAGGCCCAGCAGGGTAAGGGGTGTGGGTGGAGGTCTCAGTATCTCCCAGTTTGCCAGGACTAGAATCAGGAACATTGGTTCCAGTTCTCTCCTGGATCCCTGCCAGTCTCCCTTCCCTGCCAGCCTTGCAGGACAGTCTCAAAGGAAAGACAAAGAGTGAGCAGCCTCGGAGAGCAATGACCTGCCTAGACCACCCCAACCACCTCTGAGCCACAGCCATCCTCTGGTGAAATCTTGGTTTTGACACAGCCATCGAAGAGGAACAGGTGAGAATTCACAAGCTCTGGTGGCTTTTGGTCAGCAGCTCCCTGACATCCCGACTCATTTCTTCCTCACCTGGTGGATATCCAGCCTTTGCCCTAGAGACATTGTTGATGCAACCAGAGTTGGAAAAGACGACGCTCAGCAGAACTAATCTTCGCTGTGGGATGTATCCTGCTCTTCTTATCCTTTCATAATCCCATCAGGCAAAGACATTGTCTTCATGATCATCTTCCTCAACACTTGCCCCAGTAGGCACTCAGAGATTTTATGAGACATTAGAAGATGGGTCCTGGGAGTAGCCTTCATCTGGATAGCGGACAGGCAGCCATTCCTTCATGATGGCCTCAGTTGTGCTAGAATGGATCTCCCTCAAGTCCAGTTATCCTCTGTCAATTTTGGTCCTGATTCATCCTCGTGGAATTTCTTCCTTTACCTGACCAGCGCCCTAGTTCCTTGATAAGATGGCACTGAGATTGGCTAGGGGCGGAGGTCAGGGTAGATTCTGAGAAGAGTACAAATGAGGGACGAGGAGGAGGAGGGCTGTGGACAAAGGGAGACCGCAGAACACCGAGTCACCTGGCATTTTCTGCACATGATTAAGAGCTACACTTGGGTTAGAATTTGGCAGAATTTAGCCCACCTCCAATACTCCGTCCTCTCAGCTCTCTGAAAACCTGTGGAGTAGTCCAGAAAGCGTGCTGTACCACGGCGTCACTATAACTTTCCATCTCCTTTTCCACGCCAACCACTACACCCTCCGAGGCCCTCACGAGAGAGGAGAGAGCACACAATAGGCTGGATAGTGTTAATTCTCCGATCTGGGTGAGGCAGAAGGAACGGGGGACATGGGGACACACTGTTGTCTCTCCCCACTGGGACTGAGGCACCGAGAAAGAAAGGGACTTTCCCAAGATTACAGAAGAACCAGAGGATCAGGAGGGCGGGGACACAGCCTCCCCAGCCCAGCCAAGTAGTCTCATAGCAAGGGCCATCTCTGAGGGGCTGAGCAGGCAGGATCATGGAGGACACTCAAGTTACTCCCAAGGTTATGGACTTGACCTCAGCCCTGAGTGCTAGCTGAGAGCGCTTTGGCCAAGTGTACACTGCCAATGCTATTTCATCTGTATCATCTGGTCAATTGTTTGCATAGGGAGGCAGTGGCGACATTGCCTCTTTGTGGCAAGATGAGAGCTCAGGATAAAGTTAGGAATTGGAGTGCGCATGGGGGAGCTGCTGGCTCCCAAGAACATGGGGCAGCTGTGGCTGGAGGCTGTGTCTTCCCTGGTTCAGTGTGGAACCTAGGAAGACAGCTGGGGCCAAACAATGGGCCCTAGGACTGGGGAGCCCACCTTGAAATGGACCCCCTTCACCAGCGAGAGCTCTGCTCTCTTCACCTTGCCTAAAAGCCTCCGAAACCCAGCGTGACCACATCTGTTCCTTTTAAGCCCCACCCCCTTCTCAGACGCCCCTCCCACACTCCGTGCACTGTAAACATGAGAAAAACAAAGCCCAAGAAAAAAACAAAAACAAAAAAACAACAAACGAGAACCCCCCTCCCGCCTCCCAACCTGGGTGAAAAATTATCATCCTTTTTCACCGTAAACAGGATTTGGCTTTTTTTTTTTTTTTCACCTTTGATTCATTTTTTTTTTCTTTTCGCTCATAAAGACGGGAAGATTGGGGCTGTCGTTGGTTGGTTGGTTCGGTCAGGCACCAAAACAAGAAACTCAATGAGAAATATTTGGTGCAAGTTCGGTAATAGCGACATGTCCACCACAGATGACTAGAGCACCACACACGACATTTTTTTCTTAAGCTAACATGCTCCGGCTGCCATCCACAGAATAGCTAGAGACCCCTACATGGTTTCTACGTGGTCAAGAGGTATATACACAATCCTTCAAAGGACAGGATTGAGGGGCCGATCACCAGCTAGTACCCTCAAGATCACATCTAGTTCTCAGCAGCTGGGCCCCCCCTTCCCGCCCCTGCTCTGGGCACGGCCAGCTCCCCCCTCCCCCTGCACAGCAAGGCGATGAGGCAGTCACCATTCTGGGTGGGTGGGCAGCCCCCACCCCTCCCCCACCCCTCCCCTCCCCTCCCTCAGACACTGGTACCAACTCCTCTTTCCACAAAATGTGCTTGCAGGCTTCTTCTCTACGTCAAATGGCTCAGAAGGCAAAGTTTGGCTGCAAGGGCTATGGCCGTGGGGGGCGGGGGGGACCTGGTGAAGGAAATGGGGCATTCACTGGCTAGCTTCCTCCCTCAGCTGTCGGCTCCCAGCTGTGTCTCAATGTCCACTCGGCAGATGGGGCATTTCTTGCTCATGGCCAGCCACTGGTCCACGCACAGTTGGTGGAAGAGATGCATACAAGGTAGGCGTCTGGAAAAGAGGAGAGTCAGGTGACCAGCAGCAGGGGCAAGGTGATGGGAACCGCTGGGGACTTGATAAAGGGGGCTCTTGGAACCCAGACCCTGGAGTGAGGCTGCGGCTGAGATGGGAAACCATGACTGGAGGTAACTCTCAAAATATTCTTCAATAAAGGCCTTGGCTTTGTCTTAGACCCACCCAAGCCGGTACCACCACACTTTGTCTCCACCACCCCACGTTCATGGTTCCCACATCTAAAATAGTCCACGCTCTGCTTTACTAGTGCGACCATGAAACACTGTGGCACACTTGGCACCCTGAGGTGCATGCCCACTAAGGGCTTCCTCCCTTGAGCCTGCAGTGCAGGTCACCAATACCCGTGAGAGAAGGGGGAGGAACTCAAAGACGTGGCCTCTCACCTCACATCTTCTCCATCCTCCAACATAGACAGACAAATGGTGCATTTCTCGTCAGTGTCTGACTCCTCCCCCTCGTCTTTCTTCCCCTTGCTGTCCTGGGGTCTTCGCTGTGAGTAGAGAAAAAAAAAAAATACTTAGTTGCCTGGTACAGACTCCAGCTGGCCACTGGCTTTCATCCACAGCCTCCTCTCACTCTGGTAGTCTCCGCCTTCCCTAGGGGTCGGCCTCTTTAAGTGCTCATCCCTGACTCCTCACTCTTGCTTCCGGAGAGAGAAGGCTAAAATCAAGTGAGGAAGAGGGCAGTAGACTGCTGGTGGTTGTCCTGGACACTGCGAGGGGCCCAGTGTTTGGAAAGGAGCCAAGCTCCTAGTCATTCTGTGCTTTGCAAAGCTTCAGTCTGCGAATTTTGGCTTCCCCTGTCCACTTCCTCTCACACCCTGTCCAACATGTACCCCTACCTCTAGGTCCAGAATGCTTCATTCATTCATTCATTCATTCATTCATTCATTTACACACATTCCTCATTCACTCTTTCCACTGATGTCCATTCATCTGCCCTCCTTATTATCTCTCCACCACCATTCCCCTCTAATTTGCACCACGTGGTTCTAAACTGTTTTCTATAGTTGTATTTCTCTCCCTGGCCGGAAAGTTCCCTTAAGCTACTGAGCTCTAGTGTGAGGCTAGCCACCATGTTGCTACTGTGCACACTTCCTGATTTACACATTTCTCTCCATAATTCTATGTTAATTATTTGACAACAGTTAAGCACTCTGCAGAACGTTTTCAAGTTTGACATGTGGCCGAGTACAAGGCATGCCACTGCTGTTTAATAAATATTCTGGGGAAGGAAAAATCTAACCACTGAATTAACTCCATCCACCTTCCATGTCCTCATCCCCACACTGCAGACATCAGCTCTAAGTCTGAGAGTAACCACAGAGAGAAAAGCATCCATTCTGCTCTCTCTCCAGGGGCAAGCAAACCACAAAGTCATTTTGCAAAGAGACATGTGGAGTCACAGAAGAAGGCCAGAGAATGACACTGGGACCAGGCCTAGATGTCGGGACTACCTACTCTGCTTGGGAGCTCCAAAGCTCCGTGCTCTGGTTTGGTCTGGGGGTGCTCTGCCCTGGCTAGAACATACAAGGAAGCCTGTTGCTTCCACTTGATGCCCCCCTCATGTGCCCCATGTACCAGCTGCAAATGATGCCAGGCTTCTGCAAGGTCCCTTTACCCAGAAAGCCAAGCAGTCTCCATTGTCCTGTGTGTTTGCCATGCATTATTTTAGTATTAGTAGGGTCATGACGATCTGCCTGCTGGAGGGTCAGCAGTCTTGGGGGTAGGACTGGCCCTGCTAGAGAAGAAATGACCAACAAAACAGCATTAAGCCCCAACCATATGCCTAGTTTCTATTGCTTTTATCCACCATTTTCCATGATTTCCTCTTTGTGTCATAATTTCAGTTCAACAGTATCTTGTTTAGCTATTTCTAATCTGTATTTCTCTCCTTTTGCATCACATTTCTCATTCTCAATCTTTAATCTCTCAGATATTTCTTTTTCTCCATTATCTACAGAACTTGGTGTTGTGGAATATTATTTTAATGAGGCAATGATGTGTCACATTTGTTTCTGGTGTGGAACATTACTTTAACTGTGTAAAGGTGTGTTACATTTGTTTCTGCTGTGGAATGTTACTTTAACTGTGTAAAGGTGTGTTACATTTGTTTCTACTGCCTTTGTTTAATTCTGTAAAGATGTGTTGCTGTTTCACCTTGCCTGCCTAAGACACCTGATTGGCCTAATAAAAAGCTGAATGGCCAATAGCTAGGCAAGAGAGGGCTAGGCGGGGCTTGCGGCCAGAGAGAACAAGTAGGAGGAGAAATCTGGGCTCAGAAAAAGAACAAAGAGAGTGAGGGAGAAAGAGAGGGACGCACCCAGGGTCCAAAGCCAGGCAGCTGCCAGCCAGATGTGGAGATAGCATCAATGTAAGATACACAGGATGAAAGGAGGGAGGGAGGGAGGGAGGGAGGAAGGAAGGAAGGAAGGAAGGAAGGAAGGAAGGAAGGAAGGAAGGAAGGAAGGAAGGAAGGTAGGTAAAAAGCCCCGAGGCAAAAATGTAGATGAAGAGAAACAGGTTAAGTTATAAGAGCTGGCAAGAAATGAGCATAAGATAAGGCCAAGCATTCATAACTAATAATAAGTCTCTGTGTCATGATTTGGGAGCTGGTTGGTGGCCCAAAAGAAAAAGCCTGCTACAACTTTGATTTTAACTTCAACCTTTTTTCGGCATTTATTTAATATTCACTATTCAACTACCTTCACATTTCATTAACATTTCTTTGTAACTTTGATAATCTTAGTTTTTTGTTGTTCTGTTGTTTTTTGGCTTTTCAAAATAGGGTCTTACTGTGTAGTGTTGGCTGTCCTGTAACTTAGAGATTCCCCTGCCTCTGCCTCCCAAGTTCTGTGATTAAAGGTGTGTACTACCAGGCCTGGCTTGATAACCTTGATTATTTTGTACTTTACCTCCATTCCTCTTCCTATTCTTATTTCTTTCATATAGTCCCTTTTTAATGTCTATGTATTCTATTTATTATTAGTTAAAATATACTTTTTGTTTTGTATTATTTTAGTCTGTTAAAAATTTTGGAGGCAGAGGCAGGTGGATCTTCGTGAGTTCGAGGCCAGCCTGGGCTACCAAGTGAGTTCCAGGAAAGGCGCAAAGCTACACAGAGAAACCCTGTCTCGAAAAACCAAAAACAAAAACAAAAAAACAAAAATTTTTAAATTGTTTTAACATTGTATTTGCATCCTAAAGTTTATGAACATTTTCTTATCTTACATTCTTCCTATTTCTTCTCTACAATATTTTCCTCTTGGTTCTCTCTTGAGTTTTAATCCTCCTATTTTTTTCTCACTGATTCAGCCCCCTAAGCTCATATATTTATATGGTCCCCAGTTGGTGGAATTGTTTTGGATGGACTAGGAGGCATGGCCTTGTTGGATTAAGTATGTTACTGGAGGCAGACTTTGAGATTTCAAAAGACTTGTACCATTCTTGGTGTGCTCCCTCTGCCTCCTGTTTTGGGGTCAGGATGTGTGCCCTCAGAGGTTCCTTCTGCCATGCCTTTGTTCTGCCACTGAGGTCTCTAACCTCCTGAAACTGTAAGCCAAATTAGACACTTTCTTTTATAAGTTGGCTTGGTTATGGTGTTTTATCACAGCAATAGAAAAGTAACAAAACAGAGGAGATGCATATTTGATGGTCTGTGGTCTTTGATACTGACACCAGGCACACAGGCAGGAACTGGGAACAGCAGCTTACCATTTGTTCTTCCTGAGCACTAGGTAGGTACTGGGCCCTGTGTATGAAGCTGCATCATCCCACTGCTTTCTGTAGCAGCCATGTTGGAAATAGAAAGGCTGGGCCACAATCCACAGCCACACAGCTACAGTCAGAAGGACTGAAATTCAAAACTGGCTGTCTAACTTCAGTCCCAAGTAATTTCAACTATTGCTGTCTTGTGTCTCCCCAGAGTGGATGGAGGTCTCTAGGTGCATTGTGATGAGCCTTGCCCTGCCCTTAATTTCCCTAAATTTGCTTATTTTTGATTCAACATTAGCTTTTTTGGTACAGCGATTCTAGGTTACATAAAAACTAAGCAACTGTAGTGTATTTCCAACCCCCACTATAGGGATCAGAGGAAGCCCTGAGCAATGAAGTCCTCAGTGAGAGTGTATTTTGACATGTGTACAGTCATGTCAAGGATGCCCAAGTCCCCAGACCCATGGGACAATTGGCAAATCTGTTACCAATATGGCCCAGTCTCAAGAGAAATGGCAAAGCTTTTCTTGAGAGTCCAAGTCTGAGTGTTTATGCACACTTCATCAATGTGTGCAAAGATTAGCAACTTCAGTTTCCTCCGCCTGGAGATTTAGAGCCTGAGACAGCTCACCTCCAGAGACTCCTACTGAGACCAGCCAACCCCTCCCCTGTGCTGTACGTAATAAACATGCCGAGGTTCCAGGCTGCAGTGGTAATGTTAGAGAACCCGACCTGAACCCAGCTCCATTGTGTGTGTCTGTCCTTTCTTCACTCCCTCACTGGCCCTAGCCAGGGTTCTAGGACCCAAGTCACAAGCAGGAGGTGCCCCGCCCCCACAGCTTCTCCTTATATGAATATCTCATCTTAGGTGGTAAACTTGTGACAAATGATGAGCCAATACTGGCCATTATTAGCTGAAGTCCATTCGTTTCCATGAGTTATGAGTTAAGGGCTAGATCTGAAATGTTAAAGGTTTCACTGCACACTGACGACTTTGGAAAGCAACTGGATCCTCAGGGTGGTGGTCTTATTAACTGATTAATCCACTGATGCATCCTAATTTGATAACATTATAGGTGATGGGAACTAGGAGGTAGGACCTAGTTGGAAGAAGTAGGTCATTGGGGTGTTCCCTGGAAGGGCATACCTCTTTCCCAGAATTTGCACCTTCTCGGTTTCCTAATTACCAGACCTCACCACAGTCCCAGAACCAGAGACAAGAAACCACAGACAAACTTCCCAAACTCTGAACCCAGATGAACCCTCCTTCATGACAGTTGTTTTTCTCAGGGATTTTGCCACAGTGACAGGCAAGCTAACTAACTCAGAGATCCCGGGAGCCTTGTGTTTTTGGTAAATGCATAATGTCACCTGTTTACATTAGGATGCCACATAGAATAATTTGCTGCACTAACAAAATCCCTGGCCCTCAGTCTATTCCTGCCCCCCCACATACACACAATGGCAACCCCTGATCTTTCTTCTTCTTCTTCTTTCTGTAGCGTTGTTTTCCAGAATGTCAAATAGTTCTGAGTATACAGTTTACAGCCTGGGGGGCTGTCTCCTTTCACCTTTTAGTGTATACTTAACCTCCCTCCACATCTTTTCACAGCTCATGGATTATTTCTTTATGGCTGCTTATTTATTTACTTATTAAAGAACATTTTGGCTTCTTCCAGGTTTTCATTTGTTTTAATTGAAATCATGTTTTAAAAGCGCATATGTCTGGGTGCCAGCCCTACAGATTCTACTACTAAGGTCAGTGGGTACAGTCCATAGTTCTGAAACTTTCAAATCCCACACCATTTAGAGGCCTTCTTTGTCCATTTGTTCTTATGAGAGAGGACTTTGAATTATTTTCTAAGGCATTTTCTATTACCCTTGTGTGTGGAAGCCCCTTTGCCCCCAGACTGATAAAAAAAAACACTGATTATCTATATACCGATGCATGCACAAAGACACTCGTGACCACTCTAGCCAGTATCCACACACTCAGCCTTTCTCCCATCCTCCCTCCACACCGACTGTGAGCTGATGAGACAATCCTGAGGAGCCATCCAACCAGAGCAGAGGCTTCTGGGCTTTGGATGGTGTCCCCTGCAGATGGCCAGGCTGGTTCCAGCAGACAAGCTGACATCTCCCTTCCCACCCCCTGCCCATGCAGCTAGACTCCGCAGCCTCACCTTCTTGTACTTGTGGGGGAAGGTGAACCTCTCGATGGTGTTCTGTACGGCTCCTCGAGTCACGTTTCCCAACCTGTCCTCGAGCTGCAGCAGCTCCTGCAAAAAGGAAAACACAAGCATGTGTGCTCAACGTGTACTAATGCATATAAACAACATGAGAAGGATGAACAAGTGGAGGATGTGTGCAGGAAGCAGTCACACTGCCAGCCGGAAGCACTTGTGTAGTGTGGGAAGCTGCACTTTTCTCTTCACGTCCTCTTTCTCTCTTACTTTCCATCCCAGGACTTCCCACCACTCGCATCTACCCACCACATCATCTACCCACGGCATCATCTACCCACGGCATCATCTACCCACCACATCATCTACCCACCGACAAGGACAGTCAGAGAGACCGGCTTATGAACAGTAGCATGCCAAGTAGCCAGTGCCATACAGGGCAGCAACATACCTCGTAGCTCTCCCGAACAGCAGAGGTGTGTCGACTAGGATTTAGTCCCTGGAGAGCGAGGAAGTGAAGCTGCGGGTAAGGGTAGTTTCGAATTTCATGGACAACCTGATAGGGAGAAAACAGTTTTGGAGAGAGTGAGCATCCCAGGCTTCTCCTGGGACCAACAGACTACTCCTCCGCCCTCAACCACCAGACAGCACACCCATGATCTTCTGCAGGCAGCAGGGCTGTCCCTCCGCTCTTGTCTCCTACCCTATTCCTGAAGAGCCAAGCTTGTGCATAGACACTCATAACCATCAACACAGGGGCGCTGACCCTGATCGAGCACCAGCTGTACCATGGCGCTGTGCTGACTGCTTCCTGTGACTTAGCAGTTTAACTGCCTCCCCTGATGGAAACTGCAGGTCCAATCACAAATCCCCATTTTCCTGAGGGGGCATGAATAAGGCACAAGTAGATTAAACAATCAGCTCATGCCACTCAAGCAAGTGACAGAGTCAAGACACAGGCCTAAGCAGCAGCTGGGTGGCAGGAGCTTCCTCTACTACCCTCAAGAGCAACAGGATGGCTAGGGGTCAGTGCCAGGGCCAAAAATGTCAGTAACCAAGGTAAATAGTATTGGAACGCAGTGTCTCTAAGTCAAAATGAATTTTTACAAACCTATGAGAAACAATGCAGACTCGAGCCCCAAACTGGCTGATCTCTGTTTTATTCAGCCTTTCCTAACCCCAGCTAGGAGTCAGGCCAGCTGCCATCAAGCTTCCCATTGCATACACTAGAGCCAATGATTTCAACTCTCGAGGCCTCAGTTTGTCAATATGCAAATGGACATGATGCCTGGTTGTACGGGGTACTGGCAGGAGGAGGTAAGACTAGTTCTGTGAGGTGTTCATAATCATGTCTGGTAGGTAGTAAGTGCTCCTTCCCCAAGCCACGGGGTGGCTAATGAGAGAATCCAGGGCTGAAGAGGGAGAATTCTGTTTGGGGACAGCAACAGGAGTTTCTCTTGGTATTGTGTGTCACTTGCAACCCCAAACCCGACCTGAGTTTTCTAGCACATTTGGGGTTCTACAGCCCTAAGAGGGCTGCTCCTGGGGAGGGGGTGGCCTGAGTCTGCAGGGAGGTACTACTCTAGGCTCTCTTGTGACCCTCGAACCAACCCTGTGAGAGTCACACAGAGTGGCGTCTACATTCCATCTCACAAAAAAAAAAAATAAAAAAAAAAAAATAAAGTCATGCTCAGGGAGACAGAAGTATGGGGTGGGGGCAAAGGTCAGGTTCAGGTGTTGTTCCTCAGGAGCTGCCCTCTTTGTTTCATGAGACTGAGGTTCTCAGGAGCACCAGTGGCTCAGTGATAAGGCTCGGCTGGCAAGCCAGTGAACCCCAGGGACCTGCTTGCCTCCACTTGCCCAGCTTTAGTGTTATAGGCACACACCACCATGCCTGGCTTTGTGTGGGTGGGCTGGGAGTCGAACTCAGGTCCTCGTGCTTGTCCGGCAAGCGTCTGACTGACTGAGCCATCTCCCCAGCCCCAAGGCAGTCTCTGCGCACTGGGCATTTCCCCAGACTACAGCCTGCCATGCTGCCTCTTCTACCCGACACCCCTCAGCAGTGCCGGCGTTTGGACTGACTAGTCACTTGCTCCGTTTCATCTTTCTCAAGCTGTAACAAGCTCTGGGGCTGAGAGCGGAGGGCAGCTGCTGGTCTGCCCGGGAGCCAGGACTCAGAGGACCCTGGGCACCGGAGAGCCATGGCCTCAGCTCACCACTAGCACGCAGTGGGCAGTGAGGAAGTTCATGTCCCCCGCCACCCCCCAGGACTCTGTGACTTACCATCTGTGTGGAGGAAGAGTTTCTGGGGAAGTGGTGCATTCGAGGAGTTGCTAGGTAATGCTGATAGTGCTGAGGGATGGGCCGCACCTGGAACTGGGCAGGACTCAAGCCGGCGTCCACACTGAGATCCCTGTAGAGACACAGCCTCATGAGCTACAAGGTGGGGGAGGCACCAACCGCTTTCAGAAGAGGTCTCACACACCACCTTGGGCCAAAGGCAGAAGACATACTGCAGACTCTGCCCCTCAGAGTGGGAGAATGGCATTAACAAATCTTCCTACAAGCTGCTTACCCACAACGAACTGTCTCCTTGTCCCTCCTGGACCCGCATCTAAGACCTTTCAGTCGGAGGCATAAGGACCATTTTTCAAGAACCATGTCCAATGCTCCCTTCCAAGGAAGAGTCTAAATGGAGCAGGTCTGGGATACTGAGCAAAGGAAGCCAAGGCCAGACTGAGGATGGGCAGTGGCCATATTTTCACCACTCAATAAAACCACAAGCAAGGGACCCTCTCTACTGCTCATCCTACCGGCTAGAAAGGAATCCTGGCCCACCCTGTCACTCCTAAAAGTTTTAAAAAAGTCACTTCATTTAAACATGAGTTTCACCAAAACATTTCCAAATTTGATGGAATCTATAAACCTACAGACTCAAATGACTAACAAATTTCAACAGTGTAACGCAAAGAAAATAACCCCAAAGTACATAATAATCACATTTGAAAAAACAATAAAGATATAACTTTAAAATTAATCTGAGATTAAAGAAGAAGGCCCCTCAGATAGAGAAGCTGGGTACTAATTATCATAGAAGCAGCCAGGAAAGAAAGAGATGGTATCAATAAGAAAAAATAGACTATCAAGCATAAAGTCTACACCCAGCAAAAAATGATTTTCAAAATGAAGGTGAAGTAAAGCTTTTTCAGATGAGCAAAGACTGAAAGGAGGTAGTGCTTATAGGCCAGTGTCACAAGAAATAGTCAAGTAAGATCTGCAGACAGGGAGAAAATGATGCCAGGTAAAAACTTAGATCCATACAAAGGAACAAAGAGGAATCGGCCGCTAACGAGAAACAGAGCCAATTTTGGGTCTGTGGAGAAAATGCAAGAGGAGAAACTGGAACATTCTGTCATAACCAAAGGCAGGAATGCTACTGATGTACAACAGGGTCATGGCAGAAAGAATCTTCCAGAAGAGGCTTCCATCAGCCAGGTTTGGATAACATGCATGTCAGTAACTATAACAACAAAAAGATATTGAAGCCCGTGAAATACATTAAATGTGGGCTGAGATGATGCTAAACAAAACCATCCTCTCTGAAGGATGCTGCCAAGGGACCAGCTCCGAACCCAGAAGTCTAGTAAACAAAGAGAAGATACAAGCATCTGCCTTGCCAAAGTACTCAGAGTAACCAAATGGTTGATGAGGGTCATTTCTCATAGTGAAGTTTTCCAGCGCACATATGAATAAGGAATTATTAAATTACCTGTCACCATTTTGCATCCTCCAAAGAATTAAGACCCATATAGAGGTCATCAATTTCTGCCAACATTACAGAAGGACAGGCAGCCACACAGAGTACTTTCTGGTAGAAAAACGGTATTGTTTCCAAAGTGTTTCTGCTAAGAAATAAGTGATAGAGAGAGGGAAAGAGAGGAAGGGGGAGAGAAAAAAGAGGGAGAGAGGGAGAGAGGAAGAGAATGAGGGAGAGAGATGGGGAGAAAGAGAGGAAGGGAGGGAAAGAGAGAAAGGGAAAGAGGGAAAGAGAGAGAGGGAGAGAAGAAAAGAGAGGGAGAAAGGGAGGGAGAGGTAGAGAGAGGGAGGAAGGGAGAGAGG